GCTCCCCAAATCTGTGGCTCTTTCTTGTGGCAGGGACCTTGCTGTGACAGCTCTCCACACCCCCATTCTGCTCTATGGCTTCTTTTTTAAGGCCATCCTATGAGTCTCACCCTCTTGGGGCTGACTAAGCAACTGCCTGTCCATAAAGCAGGAGGTTCAAGCAGCTGCTTGGGAGATGTTAGCCAGGGTTGGGAGTCTCCTATGGAAACCAATAGGTGTATAGGGCCAGGGGTATATTGAGCCCCTGCGTTCCCCCTCCTTGGGTCATATGAGCCTGTGGCGCTGCAGAGCTTCTTGTCCCCCTCCCCCATGCCCCAGTACACTGGAAGGAATTCCTTTGGGCTGCTGTAGCCACAGCCCACAATGTCCCACAGAGTGCATGGTAAGGGAATCCCTTCTACTCCTCCCTCATCCCCTCATATCCGAATCACACTGGCTCCTGCGGGAGAAGATGGGGACAAGATTTTACCCTGAGTAACGGCTGCCGAGTTGGTGCAGTCATGGCGGGAGAAGAGTGGGTTACGAAGACAAATGCTCCCTCTGGAAAAGCCACTCGGGTCTGTTCTGCTCAATGCCTGTTGGCGTTTCTTTGTGGTTTTAATCTGTGCCTGGAGCGAAGAAAATCCTGCTGCTCTCTAAGCACTAGGAAATGTTGCCCAGCTAGTGAGAGACTGTGCTTGCCTCCTTGTAGAGAAAGGGATCTGAACGAACATGTGCAAGTAACACCAACGAGGGCCCTAAGCCATGAAGGTTTGTTAAGAAATAAAGAAAGGCCCCCGTGGAGCCCAGGACTGTTGCAGGGGGTACCTCTCCTTAGTGGCAGAATTGTTTGCTGCATTCTGCACACAGCACCTCCTCCTTCCCCGGCTGAAGTCAAGCCCAAGCCTGAGTTGATGTCAATAGGAGCTGAGGGGGCACGGAGACACCTTTGAAAAGCATATGGCTATTCTGGGGTGGAGTCACACTCTTTTTATATCCCATTGAATGATTGTATTTCCCTTTTGATGTGTATTCGGGGACCCTGCAGGGAACCAAGCCGACAGCCCAGGTGTTCTGTTTGGCCCCAGCGCAGGCACAATCTGCGCTGCAGCAGGGCGTGGATGAACCTCAACCCCGACCAAGTGGAATTATCTCTAGGGGACAAGAGGATACTTCATTCTCTATGGCCCATTCGATCCCTGGCCTCTGCACGGACTGGCTGCCAGGGAGCCAGTTAATGCAAATTGTGCTGCACTAACTAGGTTTAGAAAAAGTGTAACTCTAGACAGAATGGCGACCGAATTTTTGACCCAGTCTTTATCTTGTTTGCACACACAAGAGGGCCCTGGAGGATTTCCTCTGCCCTGTCTGGGTGGCATAAGACAGTTTTAGCAGCTCCTATACCTCTCTCCTTCCCGTCTCCTGAGGGAGTCAGGAGACAGCCTGCTTGACCAGGGCATCCCTATGTCCCAACAATCATTAGCTGCCAGAAAGGTCCCTTGGAAACCCTAGGCAAGCAGCATAAGTAACTGCCGCCCACGGGTTGCTATGAATCAGGCCAGCACAGATCAGGGGCTTAAAGCCATCTTTGTCAACCTGGTCCTTTCCAATTTTGCTTGTCCTGACTGGAGGATCTGGCCCAAGGCTCTTGTCATCCATGTATTCAGGGAGGGATATTGAGCCTTGGCCTGCTAAACCCAGGGTTGTGAGTTCAATCTTTGAGGGGGCCATTTAGGGATCTGGGGCAAAAATCTGTCTGGGGATTGGTCCTGCTTTGAGCAGGGGGTTGGACTAGATGACCTCCTGAGGTCCCTTCCAACCCTGACATTCTATTTCATAGTAATCTACTATGTTTAAGCCTTACTCTTGAATCTCGTATTTCCTCTAATAGACTGTCATAGGCTATATTGTTACAGAAATTCCTTAAGTGAATTGAATTGCCTGTTCTATAAAAATGCAATCAGTCAATAAAAATACTGGCAACATTTTTCAAGCACCGGTACCTAAAGATAATCATCAGAGCATCTTTAAGCACCTAAATGAGTGGCTTAATTTTCAAAGGTCCTGAACACTCCCGTGGCATAGATTTTAGTGGGAGCTGCAATTTTCCAGCACCTCTGAAAATTTATATGGACTTACACGCTTAACCTTAGGCATCCAAGTTTGCAAATCTTGGCCAAAGTGCTTATATACCAAAAAAAAAAATCTATTTGATAAGTACATTTTATAAAACTAAAATATCATACATGTAATTTTTACAGGTAATTACACATGTGTGTGTTTGTGTGTGTGTTTTCTTAGGTGGACATATGCTAAATATTGTTATATGCACATATACAGAACAATTCCTAGAGAAATAATGCCTTGGGTTAAATGGATGCTTTACAGATTGTCTGTGCAAATACATTTGTATAATTATGCCATGTGTTGCTTCATGCATTTTCATGTGTTAATTGCAGAAAATCTGTCCAAAAAGTTAAAAGAAAAGTCAAATAAAACCAGTTGCAGTTGATGTGCTATTATTCAATATGGCAGCTTTAAGAAGAAAAACACTTACATTCATTTACATTCTGTGTTTTGTTTAAATTATGATGCCTCCAGCTTTCCCATTTGACATTTTTTAGCAACTTAATTATTATTACCAAGGAAGAATTTTAATAATGGTGTTGTTTACACTGGATGCATCCCATGGGAATTAGAGAGAATTACCCAGATTGAGAAGAGAGGGAGGGAGGGAAGTAATATTTTGAAAACCCAGTACACTCTTTGCTGGAAGCATCTGTTCTTACTCTCTCTTTTCTTTCTAGAGTCTTGATATCATTCACAGCCTAGACTGTCTGCAAACGGGGACTCGTTTTGAGGATTCCCTTTCCCTTCAATATTCCTTGTTGTTGTTCTTCCTGTCCTTCCTTGTTTCTGAATCTGTGCTCCTGGCTTGGCAGCAACACAGCCTTGAGGTGATGCTAGTAGATGTTGAAGCAGGGTTAAATTACTGTTTTAGTGGCTACCCTGACTGAGTGGCTCTGGGATGTTGTGAAGGCAATTCAGAGAGCTACATTTTCAATCAGCCTTAACCACGTTTCATTCCTGCATCTGCACAATTATCTGAGGCCCAATTTGAGGGCTCACTCGGGTGTTTGTACATTGACATTAATTCTAAGTTGCAATGCAAATGGCTGTTGGTGGAAAAACTGTGGACACAATTATTTGTGTCTGCAAACTGAAGGTACAAAGATGAAGGGCAGCATATTTTGCCTAGGGAACGGCTGGCATTGCTTAACTCAGTTTACAATCCAGTGTAGCCTGGTCACTTCCCATTGAGCAAACTGCTTACCCCGGGGTGTATGTGTGATGTCTCCAGCCACCAATAATAGGATGCGTAAGATCCTGTTGTTTTTCATTACTCCATAGGGAAATCCTTCTCTGAAGCATTTTCATGGTATGTGATCTTGGTGTTCTGCAATTTGTTGCATGATGAAAAAGCCTCTTTTCTGTGTGTCTTTAAAAAAACCTAGCTCACGTTATGAGGATAAAAATGTCCCTATTTTTGATGCATTGCTTTATATCTTTTCATTTTAAAAAAATAAATGTAAATATTTCTAATCAGCTCTGATGCACTGTGTGATCCCTGCTGGCATATTTGCTAATAATTACCAGCTAATTGCAGGGGGCGGACAGGAGGGGAATACCAAACAAGTTTATACCTACATTTTCAAAGTGTTTCCATGGGAATTTAGTTTCACGACACCATTGTCATTTCCAGTATACAGCAACCATCTCTAACAAAAGATTACCTTATTGCAGAACATGTTTTCACTGTATAGCCGCTATATCGTTACTAGTCATGTTTAGTAAAATTTGTTATTGTTGCCTTTTGACCGGGCTTTTCAGAATGTGAGTCAATCTGGCTGCTATTTTCCAAGAAGGTTAGCTGGAGGATCTAGTTTTCTCTACCTGTTGTGAGTGGTACTTCAGTTTAACTGATTTTCAAAGAAGAAACAATGGGTGAAATCCTGAGCCTATTGAAGTCAATGGCAAAAATCTCATTGAGTTCAGTTGGGTCAGGATTTCCTCGAGTATCTTTGAACACCTCCAAAATGCTAACAAAATGGGTCTTTTAATAATGACAGAAACAGAACTTTGCTTTTTAACTTGAGGTGTGGGCTCTAATTTAATAACATTGCTCCCTAATTTCTCATCATATAAAAATACACATGAGTTTGAACGTAATTTACAAATTAAGGTGAGATTCCAGCAAACATCCCACTGGCTTCTGGTAGATCATTCATGTAGGTTTCAGAATCTGGGCCTAAATCTGGGCTAAAGCGAGTCAAATTCTTTCCTTGTGAAAGCACTCAAAACTGCATTTAAATCAATAGCAGCGCACTCAATTACGGCAACAGAGAATTTGACCTGAGTATCCCAAAATGAGGAAAATATATGATCTCACATCAGAATTTGGGTATTAATGGCCCATTGCACCAGCAGTATCTGTAGCTTGTGATAGTCCTGTAGATTTATGATAAAGTTTGGAAAAGATGATGCTTGGCTTACTTTCTCAATGGCAATTTTTGCCATTGACTTCAATAGGCTCAGGATTTCACCCATTGTTTCTTCTTTGAAAATCAGTTAAACTGAAGTACCACCCATCATTATATTAGCAAGTGAGTGATTTTCTTTAAGTTATTAGCATAACATCAATGCTCATTATGGCCAGATTGTACTTTATATCTTACACCAAATCCTTAAGAGCATGAGGTCAACTTAAAGAACAAAGAGAAACAAAGGACCATTATTGGAGCATATTTGTTTGCTCCACATCATAAACTCTCAAACCTAACATGTGGCTGCACTGATTATACAAGCTGTGGATATTTACCAGTCTGGGGACATTGAGAACGTATCTTTTATTTTGTAGCTCATTTCTTGCATCTAGCTGCATTGGCCATATAGCATACATTTCTTCGAGAGCCTGCTGAATGATCAGTTTATCACACAGTACAAAATACCGACAAGGGAACTTAGCATCAAAATGTTTATTCATCATCACAATAGATGGACCATCAAGGCATGGGGCTCTATGAAAGGCTTCAGTGCATACATGTGAAAATGCAGCATTTGCAGTTCAAATATACAGTTCTGAATTACAGCTCAGATCAATACAGTGGGAAGATTGAGATTATCAATCTCGAGGGGGTCTCGGTTACACGGAATTGACTGGCAACCGCATAATGACTCAGGTTCAGCCCACCAGTTTAGAGTCAGGGGGATAGATCTGCAGGCGCCAGTCATCATCATTTCCTTATCGACAGGGTCCAGGTGGCCATTTGTCTTCTGCTACCTTAGTTGTCTTGGTCCAGTTCAAGTACTTAATCCTTCGAGCTGCGTCTGAGTGATCAATGCACAGCTACAGCTGGTTGAAGGGGACCAAATCCATTGAACAGTTGATTTGGTTCCATTTTACCAGCTTTAGCAAAGCATTTGGCCTCATGGCTCATGGAAAGCAAAAAGGGCGATTCCTCAGGACTCTTTCCTTCACAGCCGCCTGGACCTCGTCTGGTTGCTGCCCTGGTTCAAACAGCTTCGTTTTCAGGCCGTCGGGATTTATTTAAGCTTCTTAGCTGCTAGGTCTGAACAGTGGGTCTGAATGTAATAGATAATTTGAAGTAGTGGCCTTCCTACTCTGCCATACTAACCTCCGGGCCATCGCACTTTTAAACCCATTATTTAATTTCTTCTTCTTCAAGAGCTAAAATACTATTAGGCTCCAACATAAGTAAAGGCCATGGGCTTAATCTGGGTACTTAAATCCCCCACCTCACGCTTTCTTCCTTTAAATGTTTTATTGTTTGCTGTTCTCCTTTCTGTTTTATGCTTTGCTGCTCACAAGGATGACCTGTAGGTACTGGCTACAGAGGCCAGTAGAACATGTGCAATGTCACTCACTATTGTGAGTCATCCTGTGATTGAACAGTTTGGGGTTGGATAGGACATCTTCTCTCAGGAATGTTCCTCAGCAGATGGGCCTAAACATTTCCAGGGGTTAGCAACCTCTGTCTCGGTACCCACCAATCCATATTAGCTTGTAACTTGGCATTAAAGGCAGGATTTTCGATATGTTTAATATCTGCTTGAGACAAGTGATGGGGCGGGGTGGCAGGGGAGTTTGGCCACCTGCAACTAACCAAAGGAGAGCAATGAAAAGGGAAGTAAAAAAGAGGAGCAAAAAGGAAAACAGCTATTGTTTCATAGCAACCTTCTATTCCCTTTGATTTGTTGTTTGAAAAGGGGTAAGGAATCAGGATGGGAAACCAGAAATAAAGCAAGTTCTGAGGACTATACAATACTTAGTGCTGGTAAACTCTGTTTGCCCAAATTGCAAGCATGGAAGTTATGTTTCAGCTACCTGAGAGAGATTTGTTTCACAAGGCTCTGCAGAATTAACAGTCTGTGATGTGCTGTACAATAAAATCAGTTTTATTGGGGGGGAGGGGGGGCCAAACATGAATATTGCATATATCTTTGTCTAACATACGTAAAGAATTTTTAAGCTTAGTAAGGGAAAGGTGACGTTGCAGCAGTCCACCAACTGTGCAAATTGATAACAGGAGAATAATGCCTGTGCTTAGAACCACTGCATGTAGAAATATAACAAATGAGCCAGCATTACAGCTCACCAATACAGGCTTTGAGTTGTATCTGTAAGTATCATAGATCACTTAACTGCTCAAAACCGTTACTCTAAGCTTCCTATAAATAAATGGGAGGGGGGAAGAGGGCGGAGGAAAGAGAGAATAGCTTTTAAAGAAGAGCTCTACAATTAATTAAATCAAGTTATCTCTAGGAACCATTTTAAGAGATAATCAAGTCAAGGAACTAAATAAACGTAGACAGAGAAGACATGGAAGTATTAAACTCATCCTTTGGCTAATTGTAGGGGGGGGAAGGAATTATTTACTGGTGGTAGAGTGGGGAGGAAATGCCTTCAGTTAACAATGCTTCAAGGAGCATGCAACCTAAATCGTGACAGGCACGGGCATTATGTTTCAGCATGCAACAAACTGTGTAAGCTGTTGACAGCAGCGCATTTAAGACATGCCGTGCGACTGGCTGGACCCGGTCCGCCCTGACGTTCCACTGATGTTATGGGAATGTTATCTGAAAGCAGCCATTAGAGAAGAGCTGCAGCACTGGATCACGCATCCCTTTTATTGTTATCCCAGACATTGGCTCCTCTGCTAATACTTATGCTCAGGAGGGTACACAAATGTACCAGGTTACAGAACCTTTGATACTGAGGTGAGTGTCACCAGGAGGTAATACAAAAAGATCTTCTATCTTGAAGAGCTTTCTGCCTTTGTCTCGATAGTCTAATACAGATGTGTTATAGACAGCACAGGGAAGCTCAAGAATTTATCACAAATTGTCAATATTCCTAATGAAGCAGAAGATTCGACATGCAATAGAATTAGCCTGCATTGAACCATTGTACTGGGGCCATCCTTCTGACTCTAGGAGTGAGCCTGGCTACACTACTGGATAGTCCAGTCTAAACCCCTTTTGAAAAATGAACACCCCTCAAAGCCATTCTCATTACAAGCTAAAAGGCCAAATGAGACAAAGTACTGTTGGTCTTCATCTGAATACACAAATCATTTTTAGATCAAATGCATTAACAATTTATCATTCTAAAATCCAATCAAAAGGAAAAAACAACAATACAGAACATTGATTTTCTACAGCTTTATCTTAATGAAGTGCACATCCCCTTAGTAATTAGCCTTAGAAGGTTTTTTTCTCTCCCACAAGTTAATGTGTTATTTGATTTCTATCCAAATGTTGCTAAATCTGAAGGAATTTCCCAAAAATGAAATGCCCTTTGATAACACAGAGAGCCTCTTATCTCTCACTTTGTTGGTTTTTCACCAAAGGGCCCATACCTCTACTGCAGATGATTCAATTTGATTGCATTGTATCTTTGCAAGGATGTTTAAATCAATGCCCCAGTTGCTGTATTCTGCACAAAGTGTAATTTGCAAGCCATAAACTATAAACTAACTGGTTATTTTTTCCTTACAGCTGTCAAATATTAATCATATTATAATAGATTTAAATCACATATAATAGAAAGATTGTACTGCATTTTCTTAACATCTCTTTTTAAAATGCGAGTATACAACCCCCAAAAGTACAGCACAGACAGGGCACATGCATCTTCTGCTTAGATTTTATTTGAACTTATTAAAAAGCACTTGGGGGGACTAGAGTAGTTGCAGACATCTCACTTGCTACGGAGTCTTTCAAACCAAGACTATTACCTGAAGTTAATAATATGTATATTTAACTTACACATCTCTGTAGAACTCACCTGTCTCCCACAAACACAATGAGGTTTCTGCTTATGGCTAACAAAGACAGCAAAGCAAGAACAAACTTACCACAACCCCATGTTTAACATTGTATCTCCAAAACACAATCACTGTCAATTTTTATTATATGGAGATAATTATATACCTCATAGAGCTAGAAGGGACCTTGAAAGGTCATCAAATCCAGTCCCCTGCCTTCACAGCAGGACCAAGTACCATCCCTGACAGATTTTTGCCCCAGATCCCTAAATGGCCCCCTCAAGGACTGAGCTCACAGCCCTGGGGTTAGCAAGCCAATGCTCAAACCACTGAGCGATCCGTCCCCTAACTGCTCTATGTCCCAGTAATTAATACCAATATACAAATATACTCCAAGCTTGTTTTGTGCCTCTAAGGTAAAAATGTACAACACTGACAATACTTTGCTGAGATGCCACCTTCCTTCCTTCTCTATTCTTTGGGCTAGAGAGAACTTTAAAATCCTATTTCTGCAATGATGCTAAACAGAGGACAATTGTTTCAATCCTGCTGCAGTGGTTATTTGCTTAAATGCAATTGATAATTTGAGAGTCCACGTTTATTTGGATGTTACACCTTGTTACTATGGTATATATCAATTGGCACCATGAAGAATAAAGCAAACAAAACCTACTATGGAAAAAATATTAGCCAGTTTGTCTCTTATTAATGTTTAAGACAGAGACAGGACTGAATCAAAATCTTGCATCTGAATATCCAGATCTGGATCCAAATTTTGCTACAGGGCCCAGTGTAAGTAAAGGGCCACATTCAAACGCAGAGCTAATCCACCCAAAAAATGCAAGGAGTTCACAGTCTGGATTTGATGCAAATGCTATGTCTCAGATACATCTCTAATGTAAGAGAGAGAGTAGCAGCAGTGCCCCTTCTACAATGGTCATATTTCTCTGAGGTGTTCTGGTGCCTAAATATGTAGACCCTAGAAATGTAATGGAGAAAACTCTGAAGTCATTGATCTGAAATGCAGCAATATGTATGTGTTTCCTGAAGCTGCATCTGTTGGATTCCGCAATTGCAATACTATTCTAGGGTACTAAAAGAGAACGAAGCTGGTCCTAATACAGTTGGTGCATTTTATGAACCAAACAATTAAAGAGGTTTTAAAATATCTGCTGATTGCGTAATCCTATCCAGGGGAGTGTATTCAGCATTTTTAAACAACCACTGATACCACATACGGCTGTATACTACAAAACACCAGCAGTCCTGTTAAAATCAATAGAAAATTAGATGCTATGAAAATGCAATATGTGTCCAATTAGTTATAATTGGAGCAAATGGTGATGTAGATAAACTCCCAGAGTAAGATGTATTTGCCCAGAATACGCACTGCCTACTTTATGCACAGCACAATATTGGCAGTCCCCTGCTCTGATGTATCCTATAACATGAATGACGATCTATCTAATACACATATGTTAACTCTCATCTAATTATGGAGTTGCACAGAGCTTTTAGGATTGCTTTGGTGCACTACTGTGTGTTGTGACAAATGATTCTCCGCCACACAGAAAACTCCCTGTTATACTTGACAAATTATTCCAGCAAACCTGTTTAAGAACTGAAAAATCCTTGAACGCTGTCACAGGTAAAGAAATATGCTGTTTGTGAGATCAGAGGGATTGTTTGTTGGTTCAAAAATTCTGGTTTTAAACTATACACTTGCTTTTTTTCCTCATGTCTTTTGTTTTGTCAGTTCAAAAACCTTCATACCAACTATTTTTCAAGGCTCTTTCAACATTTAAAAGCTCGGTTGCATGACCAAACAGAAACTAGGTTATTTGATTCTAGTTTATTTTTAACACTATTTGTGCAACATATTGGGGTCCTTCCTCTGTTAATCTTATGACTAAAGTAAATGAGCAAAGTTCCTATATCACGCAGCTATGCCCATAACATTACAGTACACCCATAGACAAGAGATATCAAGCCAAACCTGGTAAAATTGGTCTAAGAAGTTTCACTGCATTACTAATACATTTAATAGAGACCCAGTTCAGATATCATGGGGTATTACAATTATCATTTGACTTGTTTGCATTTATTGTTT